AGTCTTCCAATTAATTGACAGATATTTTATTTCTATTTGTCTCTAATGATCCTTTTACTTCTGTGGCTTAGTAACATCTCCTTTAACATGTGTCTACTTATTTGAGTCTTATTTTCTCAGTGTAGCTAACAGTGTATCAATTTTATCTTTTCAAAAATCAGCACTGATATTTTGTGAGTTTTCTGTTTCTATTTCACGTATTTCTGCTTTGCTCTTTTTTCTTTCCTTGAATTGACTTTGGGTGTAGTTTATTTTGTTTTTCTGGGTCCATGAAAAGCATTGTTAGCTTGTTTTATTGAGATCTTGCCAGTTTTTTTTTTAATGTAGACACTTAATACGTCTATAAACTTCCATGAATACTGCTTTTGTTGTATCAGTATGTTTTCATATTTTGTGTTTCCATTTTCATTAGTTTATTTTTTCTTTTGATCTCTCAAATGACCCATTCATTATTCATTCAAGAGCTTGTTTAGTCTCTTTAGTATGTGACTAATTTGAAGTTTATTTTGTTCTTGATTTCTATCTAAATACGAGGGTAGTTAGAAAAAAAATGCAGGTTGGGACTAGACATTATGACCTAAACAGATTAAGCTGTCACCTAGAATGCCACTGGTTTCTCATGTGGGCACTGGTTCATATTGCATCTGCTCCACTATAGATCCAGCTCCCTGCTAATGGCCTGGAGTAGCAATGAAAAGAACCCATGTCTTTGGGCTCCTGCACCCACAATAGGGGCTTGGATGAAACTCCTGGCTCTTGACTTTGGCCTAGCCCAGCCCAGGCTGTTGAAGCCCTGTAGTGAGTGAAGTAGCAGATGGGCGTTCCACATGTCTCTCCTATACACCTAACAGTATTTGTTTTATAAAGTTGAGTGTGCCTGGTATTAGGTGCACATGCAGTTAAAATGGCTGCGTTTTCTGCTTGGATTGATTCTTTCATCACTGTAGAGTGATCTTTGTTTTGTCTTCACAATTTTAATCCTCAAGTCTGTTTTGCTGATGTAATTACACACACACACATAAATATATATGTATGCCAATAATAATTGCCTATTTCCTTTTTTTCCTGCTAAAGATCTGTTTATTTCAAATGTAGAGTTACAGGAAGATGCTGAGAGATACAGATATTTTCTGTGTGCTGGTTTGTTTCCCAGGTGGCCAGAAGGCCAGGGCTGGGCCAGGCTGAAGTCATGATCCTGTAACTCCACCCAGATCTACTATGTGGGAGTCAAGGGCATGAGTGGTTGGACCGTCAGTCATTACCCTCCCCGCTGCACCAACAGGGAGCTAGATCAGAAATGGAGCCAACCAGATCTCAAACCAGCATCCATAAGGGATGCTGACATTGTAGGCCACAGCTCAGCCTGCTGATGGGCCACAAGCAGCCCCTCCTGCTTGCCTAGTTTCCATTTTCATGGAAAATCTTTCCAATCTTTTTACTTTCAGTCTATGTGTGTCTTTATTGATGAAGTGAGTTTCTTATTGGCAACATATTGTTGGATCTTGTTTTTTAATCCAAACAACATATTATTTAATTGGGGATTTTATCCCATTTACATTCAAAATTTTCATTGGAAGGTGATGACAGTCTTTTCATTTTGAAAATTTCCTGTTTATTTTATATATCCTTTGCTACTTTATAAGGGATCTTATACTTCCACATGTTTCATAACTGTCTTTTGTCTCCAGTACGTGAGACTTCACTCAGCATCTTTTGTAAGGGTGGACTAGTACTGATTAATGTACTTAGCTTTTGCTTGCCTTGAGAATTTTTTTTCTTCATTTAGGAAAGATGACTATACTGGGTAAGGATTCTTGGTTGGTGGTTTCGTTCAGAATTTGGAGTTTTTCATTCCATTGTCTCTCACCTATAGGGTTTCTATTAAAAACTGTGCTGTTTGTAGGCTTTCCCTTAAAAGCAATCTGGGATTTTTCTCTCACAAATGTTAGAATTCTCTCTTGTGCTGGATCTCTGAGAGTTGGACATTACATTGTCACAGGGGAGTGGGGGTGGGGCTCTTTTCTAGGCATGTTGGGGTGGGGGTCCTTTGGGCCTCCCACACTCAGCTCTCTGCTGTGGCTGGAGTCATAGGAGCACTGCCTGGAGACTTGGATATGTTGCTGCAGTACCTATATTGGTGGTAACATACTTGGGGCAACGGTAGCAACAGCCCAGAACCCAGCAGGCTACACAGACCTCCACAGTGCCCGTTTTTATGCAGTGTCTTGGCAGCCACAATCTTTTCTTCCCCAAGCAATCATTCTGTTATACTGCCTGGAGTTGGGGGAGGAATGAAGGAAACAGTCCTGTGGCCACTTAAGCTGCAATGCCAGATCCACAATCCGCCAAGACAACACAACACAGTTAGGATCAAAGTCCACCTTGCTATAGGCTGTTAACTATTCACATGGGTTTGTAGCCCAGCTGTGCTCACTCCATGTCCTGCTTCCCAGTGATTGGAGTCTTGCCCTTTGCTCTCTGCTCACAGTTGGGAGAAGTGGGGTAAAGGCAGTTGCTTGGCCACTGAGGCTGACACTAAAAGGAGTAATGCCTGAATCTCAACAGCTACAAGGTCCTGCACTGTCTTGCAGGTGCATACTTAACATGCAAGAGGCTGCATTTGATGCCAGCTAAATCACTGGTCCACTGGCCAGCGCAGGTCTCCAGCCAATATAGCTGAACTAGCCCTGAGCTTCCAGTCAAAGCCCTTGGCTCCTTTGCTGCCCTGTTCCACTGTGGCTCAAGTCTTGCTCCCAGCTGTCCACCCAAGGTTGAGGGAGGAAAGATGAAATCAGGCCTCTGATCCAAGGCTCTGTTTGTGGAAGTATCTGCCTGGGATCAGGAGAAAGGCAGCCTGATCAACTCTAAATTTCTCAATAGCAGAGTTTGGACTGAGTTTGAAGTCTAAGGTCTGAACTGTATTTGCTGTCTCTCCTCTGAAGGAGAGGCATCTTCCACACTATACCGCTGGGAGTCAGGGTAGGACAGGCCTGGCCACATTTTCTTTGCTGTTATTATAGTATAAACAGGTGCTATGTACTCTTCCCTAGTTTGCTTGGCTCTGGGAGGGAGATTTGGTGCATAAAGAAGTGTTACATTGATGGCTCCATGGAAGCATCAAGTCTTTTTCAGCCGCTATCTTGTTCTACCCCCATGTTCCTGTGTTTTAAAAATTTCTGTAGCATAAACACAAAAATGAAAATAGACACGAGCAAGCTGAATAGTAGTACCCTATAGCCATTTTAAGGTGTATAGCAGCCAGTTGTGTATAAACTAAAATTGAAATGTCAATGAAGTAATCACAGAATGTGGTTAATAACTTGCATTTTCTAACATATTCTAACATATTCACTCAATACCATGTCAATTAACTCCATAATGTTGTAAATTTTTGTTGATGTTATGTTGTGGCTTTTCATTGGACGGGATGATAATCTGCCAGCTCTGCTTTCAGACCAGAGATGGTCTCCCCAAGAAACTGTTGAATTTATCTGGACAATAAGATGCTGGACTCTATGCATGGTACATGCTCGCAATGAAAGAAACAAGACTAGATTTGAATTGTAATACTGCAACAAGGTGGAGGAATCCACCATGGTGGGAGGACTCGTGGAGGAGTTGGGGGAATCCCAGAGCCTATGAAACTGTGTCATAAAATGAAATGTAAAAAAAAAAAATCTGTAGCCTGTAAACTGCTTATTTTCTTTGGAATAATTGCCTTTAGTAAGCAGGAGCTTTTTCAAGGGCTCAAAGCCTAAGCTTCTGGAGTCAGGATAGTTGAATTCACTCCACCCTGCCACTGATATTGCTTGTCTTCTGGAATCAGGGCTTAGTGTCGCCTCTGTACAGCTGATGGAGAAAAAGCTCTGGTGAAGCCCATGGCATGTTCCAGCTACTGCAGTGTACCAAGTACAGCTCTTGGGATTCATTTGCAATTGCTTATAAATACAAAGGCATTTCCAAAAGTTTGTACAATGAAAGATCTGGAAGAAAGTTTTTGTGCAATATTGTCCTACAGCTCATGAGTAGTTCTTCCATAGTACATGATTTCCCGTGAAGTTCTGAAAGACCCTTTGTAGGTTTTATTTGCTACTGAGGACATGCTCTTTGTACAAATGTCCCTTTATTCATTGGGATATGTGTTTGTTGGATGGTCACAGCAGCTTGATGAAAATTGGCCTTGAAAATAGTCCAATACTCAGAATAGACAAGTGCGTCTGCAAGTGAATATTGTAATGTTCTATTTCCTTAGTGATATTGACCCTCAACTTTCTAAGGTGAAAGTGGATTGGGGAAAATAACAGGTGTCAATGGTGATGGGAGGAGGCAAAAAATAACAAATTGTCATTTTCTAGAAGCCATATAATGAGTGTTTTCAAGTGTCATAGGCATACATTTATTTGCTGTGGAATACTCAGAAACTTTTTTGAAACCATTAGGTCTATGCCCTAAATACATCCATTACTTCAAGTCTGATCAGTATTGGTCCATTCCCACTTTACCTACATAGCCGAGGAAAACAGTGACCAAAACCATGGAGGAAATCTGCAGAATCGCTTTCAAACCCATGCCAGCATCACTTCTGCATCATCTGCCCAACCTTGCTCCAAAGCTTCACTTTTTATGGGAACCTAGTTGTAGGTTGAGGCTCCCTGGTTGGAAATGCATTGAAACTAGATGTGTTTGGATTTGGATTTTTTCAGACTTTCAGGTATTTTTGCCCATTGATGGAGGTCTTAGGGGAGAGATCCAAGCTAGACAGGAAATTCACTTGCTTTATATGTACCCTATACATGTAGCCTTAAAGGTAATTTTACACAATATTCTTAGTGTACCTGTTCTGGTGAAGGCTCATCCTGTGAGGTCAGAGGTGGAATTGTCTGCTTGTGTCAGTTCCCAAATGGTTTCAGATTTTTGGGAGGAATACAAATGTCCAGCCCTTACAAGACTCTGGAACTTCACAAGAAAAGTGGTTTCCAACTGCCCTGGTCTCTCCACAGGAGGACACAGCCTGCTGCCTCCCATGCGGTCACCTTTGAAGGACTGACTTCATCCACCTGCTTGTGGCAGTTCGTGCTCCCGCCATGGGACCCACGGGGAGCCTGCTGAGTGGTGGACATGCGCAGATTGTCCTGTGGGGAACTTTGACAGCTGTCGCCGTTATCTTCATCATCAGCTTCCTCATATTTCTGTGCTTGACTTGTGACAGGTGAGAACCAAGGCATGTTATCAGAACCTTAAAATAACATGGCCCAGCACCCAGGATAGGCTTTCTGCGTAAAGCCTGGTATGACCTACAGTGCCATGATACACTTAAATAACAGAATGTTAAACTTGTAACTGTTACTACAGGACTACACTACTGTAATAACACAGGGGAAAGGGGAAAGGAATATGAAAAGGGAGATCCCTTTCATGATACAAAACTGTATCATGAAAAGTAATAATAATAGAAGGAAAGAAGAAAGCCTGGTATGAATGGAACAACACTGCATAGATGTTCACAGGTGCTTTAAGATAAGCTAAAGGGCCCGGCCCTATCAGAGAGGCAGGATAAGACACTGCCTGCAGCACAAGCATCCAGTTTGAACACCTGTTTAAGTCCCAGCTGCTCCAGTTCTCTGCTAATGTGCCTGGGAAAAGCAGTAAAAGATGGCCCAGGTGCTTGTACATCTATGTCCTTAAACAAGACCCATAAAAAGCTCCAGGCTCCTGGTTTAGCCTGGCCCAGCACCAGCCACGTGGGTACTAAACCAGCAGTTGGAAGGTGCTCATTCTCTTTACCTTTCAAATAAACGAAGTATTCTTTTCACGAAGATCACCTTAAACGACTCTGTAGAGTCCTAGAATAATCTTTGTTAAGTAAAAACCTGTATTTGGCTCTTCTAGACAGCAACTGGAAGAGCTGTTATAGCTTAAATGCTCCAGTGTTCTTGTTAGCAATTCCTTATCAAAGTTATATTGTCTTTTCCCATATATGTTCATTTGAACTCTAAGCATGATGTACACCTCTTGCCTACATCTTGAGACATTTTGCTGTGGATCTGGCATTGGAGGGCTCATTGATTACTAAATATTTATAAAGCAACATGGTGCTTTCTGAAAAAAAAATTCTTTAGCCTTGAAGAGAGATGTTCTGTATGTGAAGTGGTCATCAGTGTCTTTTTTTTGTAGGATTATGCTCTCTCTCCTCTTTTGTAAAATGTTAGTACCCACTGGGCACTGTGGCAAAGCGTACAACATGGGCACAGTGTTTTCACCACTTGGGACATCTATACTACACAACAGAACCTTTGGATTAAAGGTTCCAGCTCCACTTCCGATTGCAGCTTCCTGTTAAGACTGGGAGGCAGCAGGTGTTAGTCCAAGCAGCTTCCCTGTCACCATGTGGAAGGCCTGGATTGAGCTCCAGACTCCTGGCTCAGCCCCAGTTGTTGCAGATATTTGAGGCATGAACCAGCAGATAGAAGACACTTTGTCTCTCCCTGTCCCCCTTCTCCCTCCCTGTTTCAGATAAGTAAAATAAAAACTCTTTTAAAAATGTATTCAGCTTGCTTAAGGGGTATACCTAGGAGGCATCATAGACTGGCCAGTGGTTGGCCAGCCCCATTCCAAACTGTCTTCTCAACCTCAGCGGAAACTAGAAGAGTGTCACTTAAAAGGTTTATATGGCTTCCTACCCTAAAATCTGTCAGCAGAGGAAAACCCAGACGCTCTGAACCCAGGAAGCCTGGTAATCCCAGCCCAGTATGGGCCAGGCCTCCATAGCTAAGGCAGGCCCCACTGACCCAGAGGTTAAAAGACATGGAGACAGAAGACATGGAGGTTAAAGACATGGAGACAGAAGGTTAAGACTGGAGAGGGTCTGTCTCTGCCATTACCAAGTCTCCCACTAGATGTCACTCTCCCTTTATACAAGATGGAAAATAACTGAACTGTCCTGAGTGAAAACACATTCTATGTTGAGTCCACAGACTTCTTCCAAGACGGGAAGTGGACATGACCCATCTTGAGAGCACGTACTTCCTGGTGTGACAAAATTTCTGTTGTCCTTCATTTCTCCATTCCTTTGAACATAGCTGTGCAAAGCTGCTCAGACATGAGAAAACTGAATTTTCTAAATAAAGTGGGATAATTCCTTCCAGCATCCCGGACATAAGCTGTTTCTACTCAGGAACCTGCCTTAGTCATCCCTTTCACTGTGAACTTGGACTTTGTGTCCCTGGAAGAAGCGGAGCTCCAGAGAAACACATAGTCCCCAGCTGTGACTGGACTTTCTCATCCCCGAAGACCTGCCAATGAGTGACCAACTGCCCAGTCTTTATTTCTTGGCAAAATAACCAAAGTTCTTAAAACAAGTTGGGCTTATACATTGATTAGAGTTAGAGTGGGAAAGGGCAGTGTCTGTTAACTTTAGGGGACACATTTCATATCAGAACAATGTTTCCTTTTCCATTTTAGAGAAAAGAAGCCACGACAACCCAGTGGAGACCATGAAAACCTGATGAACGTGGTGAGTAAGTGAGTGAGTGTGTGTGTGTGTGTGTGTGTGTGTGTGTACATGTGCATGCATGCCTGCCCATGGATGTACTTTAAAAACATCAGCTACTTACTCATGTGTTCCCACCTGTTTATGGTCCTAGCAGAACCTAGGGAAGAGCTAAGCTGATATTGGCCTTGGCTGCACACTCTGGGTAGCTTTCTACCCACCATCACGAGAAACCTTTTCATTAACTCAGGTTTACTGGACTACTTCTGAAGTGGAAATGCTTGTGCTACTTCCAGAAAGATCCTCAGGTGGCTGCACCTTGCTATTCAAATGCCATGGCTCTACCCAGCTCTAGCTGCTGCATTAGTCTGCTGGGGTTGTCCCAGCAAAGGCACACAGATGAGGTGGCTCTCAGGGCTAGGGCCAGAGGTCTACATTCAAGATGTTGGCAGGGTTCTTTCCCCTGAGGGACTCTTGGGTTCAGCCTGGGACAGGCCTCGCTCCCAGCCAGGGAGGGGTTACCCAGCACCTTCGGCACTCTTTGGTCAGTAAATGCATCATTCCCATTCCTGCCTTCATTGCCACGTGATGCTTCTCTCTCTTTCTCTTCGTCTTCCCTCCATGCATGTCTGTATCAGCATAAAGTTTCCCCTTTTTGCAAACATACCACATGTATCTGACAGGGACACTGTCTCAAGTGTGACCTCATCACGGTTAGTTTCATCTGCAGTGATGCCATTTCCAAATAAGATCACATTTTTGAGACATTTAAACTTAAAACCTTCACATGAGAGTTGCCAGTGAGACACAATCTTCAAGCCAACCAGTGCCTGGACTCGCAACACCTAAGGGTGGGCCTACCCTTGTTGGACCTTCCCCAGCCCTAAGCAATTAGAGGTTCAGATGAGTCTCCAGGACTCCCTCATGGTAAACTTTGGTTCTCTGGGTCAAGCCAAAACTGGATGGGGAAGAGTACTGCGAAGGCAGAGTGGAAGACTCAGATGTGTAACCTGAAGTCTGGTATCAAACAGGCTGCTGTGGTCAGAGCTCATAAAAGAGGCAGCTCCAACCCATGCTGCATGACCTAGAAGCTCACAAGGCTCTTCCAGCTTAGGCAGGAAGGTAGCTGTCAGGAACCCCTGTTCCTCCTAGGGACCCCAGCATATCCCTTCACTTCCCCTCTGCATGCATACAACCACCATACCCACTGCTGCTATCTGGGGCCCTCTCTTAATGCCTTTTCCCACTCCATTGCTATCTCGGATTGTGCATATCATCCACAATGCCCTTACCTCCATCTGTTGCAATCCTCTTCTGGCACCACTGTGGGGCACCAGGATGCAAGGTGGGAGGGACAAGGAATCCCTCTACTGTGACTTGTTCCAGCCCTGTCTTTCCACTCACCACCCTCCACTTTGCCAGATGGACAGGGAGGTAGAGTAAAGTGGAGTGGAAGAGGGCTACTTCTGCTGTTCTTGCATTTCCTTCCTGAGTGGGGTACTCAGCTGTGACCTACACACCCAGAAGCTGTAGCAGTGTTGCCTGGGAGCTTGATAGACATGAATTTTCCTGATGGTGGGGCTCAGCTGCTGGTTGCCTGCCCCCCACCCCAGGTGACGCTGCTTTATGCTCTAATGTGAGAGTCTTAAAGCTGCAGTTTCAGCTGCACAGCCACAAGTGAGGTGGGAAGAGAGGCCAGAGGAAGAAAAGATAGAGCCAGCTTTCTGTGTTCTTTTCCTTACACCCTTAATCACCACCCCTTCCCACCTCACCCACAGGAATGTGGATATGTGAGAGGGGTCACACACAGAGACCCACGCCTATGCTTGCAGCACTGCATGCACACAGGCAAACCACCCCCATCCCCTGAGAGCTTCTCAGCTCCAAGATCTTGCCCAACCTACAGACTGTCCAGCTGCTAGAAGCTGAGATGAGACATGGGATTAGGATGTAGACTGGTCACTTCAGCTCTTGGTTATGCCCTTTTGGGACTATCTGGAAACCTTTCTGCTCCACACCCACTGCTGTGGGCTCATACCTGGGATATGAGCACCTGCAATTCAACTTCCTGGTGACGTTAGTCAGCTTCTCATAGGATGGCTCAGAGGATATGAGCTGCGCTGTGTTGAAAGAGCCAATTGTCAATAAACTTTGGAGCATGACCCCATGTGAGCCAATTGCTGTCTGTTGTTATTATTTGATTCCAAATGAGATATCTGTGTTTGTGAGGCCAACTAGCCAGGGTTCCTGTGATGTTTGCATTGGCACATTCCATGTGGAATCCTAGAGCGTATGGTAGACTCTTGGGGCCTAGAGGCTATAACATGAATGGGGAGCAGATCATGTTTGCTGTGATTCAGACAGCTTGGGACCAACTGGTATTCAAAGAAAGACACATGTGGTCAGCTTGCTTTCTGACTACTCTAGACTATCACTCAGTCTGGCCGGTTGTTCCAGGTGAATATCTAGCCCAGCAGCAAACAGTACCATTCTTCACCCTCAGTGACTCAAGCTTGCTCATAAGGATAAAAGTTTTTCAAAGCTACCTTTTTAGCAAGTGATTGTTGCAAATCTTGGAGTTGGTTCAGAAGTATTGTCAGAAATCAGTACCTTATCTTTGCCCAGACTTAAGCTTATTGCCTTCACGTGACCTAGGATGAGGCTTTCTCGTGTTTCCTATGCCATAGTACACCTCTAAGAGTACCGTTTTGTAGCATCTGTCCCCCAAGGGTAGCACTCCTCACAGCTGCCATGAATTCCAACCAGCACAGACATGAGGTCCCCTGCCTGATTTATAGGGAAAACTGATATACCTCACAGCTTAATCTCACCATGGCCTATTTGTAGATCACCAGGTAGGAGTGCTGCAAATGGCCTGAAAGATTTCTAGCACCCCTTGGATTCTGAAACAGCACTGTTCAATGGAACTTTCCATGATGGTGTAAGTGTTCTAAATCTGTGTTGTATGACATATTTGTGCTAGTTCCCTGTGGCTACAGAGCACTTGGAATGTGACTTGTCAACTGAGGAACTCCATTTTATTTTGTTTCACTTAATTCAAATCTAAATAGTGGATTCTGGTTTCTGCTTTGCTTTCTGAAGTCCATATTCTTAGCAATGGAATGCATTTGGTTTTTTTCAGCCTTCAGACAAGGAGATGTTCAGCCGATCAGTTACCAGCCTGGCAACAGACGCTCTTGCTAGCAGCGAGCAGAATGGAGCACTCACCAATGGGGACAGTAAGTTACTCAAAAAATACCAGCTTTCCATACAGGCCTCATTGCCACAAAAATACTAGGTTTCAAAAAATATAGTCTCAAAATTAAGAAATATATTTCTTACTGACAAACAAAAAAAAACGCACCTCACTCAGATAAAGGCTATCAATTACTAGACACTGGATAGTATTTTTGAGTAATGTAATCATCATAAGGGCCCATTTTTCCTACCACAGAAAGGCAAACGATGTGCTTAAGCTCATATAGTTTGAGTTGAGGATCCTAGGTTTGTACCAGGAAGTCTGAGTCTTGGGCACAGACTCAGAGAGATTCTGCAGTATCTGTTCCATGCATGCATCACCTGCTTACAGGTGCAGCTGCTACCTTCACCTTATAGCTTCCAGTCTGCAGAAACACTTTTACCTGAAGCAACTGGTGATCCTGGTGCCCTAATTTGTTGTAGGGATGGTCAGTATTGGCACAGGATCCTCAAATGTGGTATCCATACTCCAGCCGCTATGACATAGGTGACCAGAACCATGGAGTAAAATCTCCCCCTGGCCTGTGATGAGTAGGTGTTTAAAACACAGAAGGGTGCTCTTAAGTTCTAAAGGGCTGCGGGATGCATTATAATTTCCCTTTGCAAATTAGTTCCAGTTGTCCCCAGAGCAAAGCAGTAACATGCCCATTGGCTCATGAGAGTGTACGAGCACCATGGGGCAGGACTGTTTTTGCTGACTGAGGTGCCTTCTGCACTGTGAATCATTCTTGGCACATCATTGGCACTCAAGAAACATTTGGTAGAGGGTAACAAAAAATTGGCCTCATACCACATTTCTGTGTCAATCAAGGCATTTTACAGTTGGATTTTATTAATTAGAGGTAGGGTTGCAGAAGGTCAGTAAGAGAGAAGAAAGACAATTAAGGATTCATGGGATGTGACAATGGCTTAAGAGACCTATCTTTGCCCTTTGTTTCTGTGATACCTGCCCAAGGAGAAAGGAACATCTGAATAGAATCACCTGTTGCTTATTGCATCCCAACAGACAGGACTCTGTAGGGACATATGCACCCATCTACAGTGTTAGACTCCCACAGTTTGATCCTCTTGAATATTACCTTCTTCCCCTGGTCACAAGGAACACTATCTCTGGGTGTATCATGAGAAGTAACAATAAATAGATATAGCAACAGTGAACCAAAGTATTGCTGGTACAATTTGTTAACCATATTGGAAAAAATACCAAGTACATCAAAAAGTTTGTGGATGCAGAATCAAAAGTCTATCTGGATGCAAACAAATTTCAAGGCTGGTATTGTGGTGAAGCAGGTAAAACCATGGCCTGTTTTGTTGACATTCCCATATCAGAGTACTGGTTCAAGTCCAGAATGTTCCACTTCTGATGTGGCTCCCCACTGATGCAACAGGAAAGGCAGTGGGAGATGGCCCAAGGGACTGGTCCCTAACCCCCGTGTGAGAGATCCAGGTGGGGTCCTGGACTCCTGGCCTCAACCTCGCCAATATCTGGCCTTTACAGCCATTTGGAGAATGAATCAGCAAATGGAAAATCAGTCTTTCACCCTCTGTCTCTCCCTCTTTCCCCTCCATCTCCCACTCTCTCATTTTCTCTCTCTCTCTCCCCTCCATTTTCCTCCTTTCATCTACCTTTCAAATAAATAAATTTTTATAAGAATGCAGGTTTTAAGACCTATGCCAAGTCTTTTCATAATGTGCATTTTTCCTAAAGTTTCAAAAAATCTCTCATACATTAGATAGCTCCATCTTAAACTGTGATTGAAGTAAGGTATGAACAATCTAATTTGTAGCCACAGATCAAGTAAGAAACAAGTGTTTTAATTTCATGCGACCTCGCACTACCTGAGTCACTGTAGTCCCCTCTCCCTTTAATACCTGCACTGCTTTAGTCCTTTCAGAAGACAGCACTCTGACCTGTATGCAACACTATGAGGAAGTGCAAACCTCAGCCTCGGACCTGCTGGACTCCCAGGACAGCACAGGGAAGCCCAGATGTCATCAGAGTCGTGAGCTCCCTAGAATTCCTCCTGAGAGCACAGTAGACACAATGCTCAACACGAGAAATGCAGATGGGGACCAGGGGCCTGGGATGGAGGGGCCCTATGAAGTGCTGAAGGACAGCTCTTCCCAGGAGAACATGGTGGAGGACTGTTTGTATGAGACGGTGAAGGAGATCAAGGACGTGGTGGCAGCCACACCCCTGGAGAAGGGGCACAACAGCAAGTCGAGGTCTAACTCAGCCTTGAAGGAGCCTCCAGGGCACCAGGCCGAGGTCAAGGCTGAGTTTGCTGAGTATGCCTCAGTGGACAGGAACAAAAAATGCCGGCAGAGTATTAATGTGGAGAGTATTCTGGGAAATTCATGTGACCCAGAGGAGGAAGCCCCACCACCTGTCCCCATCAAACTTCTGGATGAAAATGAAAACCTCCAGGAGAAGGAAGAGCTAGAGGCTGCAGAAGAGCAAGCCTCCGAGGGGATCCCTGAAACCAACAAGGTAAGAGGCACCTGTGCTTCTCTTCCCTCACTAGGAACCCCTGCTTGTGCTGGGCTCTTTTTGCAAACTTTCAAGTTTATTGACTAATTAAAGTGATTTTACTATAGGCTGTATTTGACTCTTTTCCCCTTCTAAGGAATAAAATGTAAAAGCCTCGTGTTTATAAAATATTTCTTTCTCAGTATCTATCTTTGGATATTGTCCAATTTTTACATCATAGGTGATTAGGGCCACATACCATTTTTTACATTTTGAAGACCACGCATTGCATGGAGAGGACAAGCTCCCTGCTACATACTTTACCTCCAGTGCTTGCTGCTGCTAGACACAGCATGGTGACCTTAAGCCTGAAAGGAACCTGGCAATGAAAGTGTAGTGACATACCTGGTGGAGATGAGACAACTGTGTCATTGGTTATATCTGATTGTATAGATAGTCTTCACACAGTACCCACAAGGAATTTTAATTCCTGGTTAAAATTTTGCCTATACCCATGTAAATAGTTTGATTTGTTTTATGGACCTGAGAACCAGACAGGCAGAGTGTCCATGCCTTCAATCACCCCACCCCCAAAGAAACTAGGGACAGTAACAGTGAGCCAAAGTATAGCTGGTAGAGTTTATTAAGTACACTGGAAAAAGATACCAAGTACATCAGAAAGTCTGTGGATGCAGAATCAAGTCTAAATGCACACAAATTTCAAAGGCTGCCATCTATTCAGTCAAGTCTCCCATGGAGGTAGCAGACACCCAAGTGCTTGAGCTATCACTACTGCCTGTTAGGTCCAGCAGCAGGAAACTAGAATCATACAAAGCCCCAAAGACTCAAACCAGGGCACTCTGTTATGGGTTGTAGGCATCCACATGGTGCCTTCACTGATGCACCAAATGACCAGGTTATTTACAAAACTTCATATAATAGATATGCTGTACAAATAATTGAACTGCTAGATTGTCTAGGGAATAATGACAAGGAAAAAAGAATCTGTATGCCCAGTACACATATTTTTTATTCAAATTAATTCCATCTGTGAATGTAGAGCCACAGCATGCAGGGAGCCAGCTGTATTGTTCTATCATTCAATTGAGAGATCTTGATGTATGACAGTTTCTGAAAAGCTGCCACATCCAATGCAGCATGGCTCAGGGTTTGAAGATGGGACCCCAGGTAATAAGAAGGAAAAAAACAGAAGTGTTTGAAAGCGAGACAGCCAGCGGGATCTTCTCTCCGTGAGAGTAGGCCAGCCTAGTGCCTGTTTTGGTGGCTTTTATTCATTAGACAAACCATCTTTGATGTTCATTGATTGATTTGTGGGTCTGTTGTTTTCTGATTTAGCACTGTCCCAGCCAGGAGATCCTCATGTGGATCATGACATGCCCAGAGGAAGAGGACAGCAGAGCACATGGCCAAATGTCTTAGGATTGTGTGCTGCCTGACATTCTGGCCTTGTCTGCCATGGACCTTGTCAACAGTTTCCTCCCCACAGCTTTTGTTCCCAGACCCCTGGCACTAGTTCATCTCCATTCTTCTCTGGCTGCTGACAGCTTTCCTTAATGACTTCCAAGGTCTGAATCTGCTATCTTAAGGACAGTACCCTATGAAGCCTTCTGCCTTTTGCCTCCTAATGCCCTACCAGAGTTTTGCTCTCAAAACACTTAGCTTTTACCTGCAGCAGAAGCAACCTGTAACTTTAGAGTTACTCCTTCAAGATCTAAAACGTGTTCACAGTCCACAAGCAGGGATGGCTGGTAACTTGATGATTGAACTACAATGAGCTTCACATCTCTAGCCGTCCAAATCTTATTGAGAACTAACCAGGCCTGCTTGTGCTTCAGATGACCAGTACCTGCTTTCTATTTCTTACACTGAAAAAAGTTAGGATCACTTATATTCAGATCTTGGTAGAAAGGACACTTCGGCATTCATTGATAACCTTAAAATACTTCTAGAGTTCATGGTTAGAAGGCGAACCAGTCACTCCAGTGTCTTTCAGTTTTTTGTATTAATCTGTAAAATCACCAGTTGAAGCATCAATGAAAATGTTTATGAACATGTTTGTCAGAGGCAAAATGTAGCCCAGTGTTTTACTTTTCATTTAATTAAAAATAATAGAACCAGTATAAAATTCATGTGCCCTAAATCAAGTAAAGCTTTTTACTTACAAGTATTTGAAAGATAGGAGTGTCAGTTGTCTAATTATTGCTAATGGTCAATTCAGAATTCATATCGAAATTGGGAACCAAATCTACAGTGTAAAAACAGATGAGGTGAGAGGATGGACCTTTGGTTTAACCATTTAGGGACTGATTGGCACACTCCGCCCATATCAGGGAATTTGGGTACCAGTCTCATCTCCACTCAGGACTCTAACTTTCTGCAAATATGTATCCTGGGAGAGAATTGGAGACAGCGCAGGTAGTCATGTCTCAGCTACCCACAGGAAGGATTTAGGCTGAGTTTTCTACTTCAGCTTCAGTCATTGTATGCATAGGCATTGTATTCAGAGGATGGCCTCTTTTTAAAAGATTTAAAAAAAATTTTTTATGTGTAAGGCATATTAATGGAGAAAAAGAGAGAGAGAGAGAGAGAGAGAGATCTTCTCTCCATTGGTTCATTCCCCAGACAGTCACAACAGCTGGAGTTGACTTGATCCAAAGCCATGATCCAGGAGCTTCTTTCAGATCTCCCATGTCATACATGGGCTCAAGGACTTGAGCCATCCTCCACTGCCTTCCCAGTCCATAAACAGGAGCTGGATCAGAAGTGGAGAAGCTGGAACTAAAACTGGTACCCATTCAGTTGAGCCACCATGTCAGCTCCTTAGATAAAAATTGTTAAAAATGGATAAAGAAGCAGATTTCTACCACCGTGGAGCTTATATTTTAGTTGAATGAGACAGAAAGTTTGAAGTTTATCAGGAAAAACAGAATACATATTAAAAGAGATTGGGAAAATAGGGTGGGTAGTATACCTTTAGATAAGTTAACCAAGGTTTGCCTCAATTGTGAAAGTCACGTTGAAGCAGAATTAGAGGAGAGGAGAAAATGAAATGCACACGTTTGGGGAAAAGAGCAGATGAAGCAGGGTTGTGGCTTCCTGAGTGAAACCTGTCCAGGAAGCTTAAAGGGATGCAGTAGCTACAAAAAGGAGGGGGCAGAGATACGAGTGGTGGGGAGAAGGGTAACCACCAGGCTTCATCTTGATGGCCTTGATTTTCCAGTACTCAGAATCCTGACAAGGTCATCAGAGAGCCTTGAGAGAAGTGACACGTGCCAATCTGTATCTTGGAGTACCCTTCTGACTACAACTTTGAAATAAACTGTAAGGGAAGGAAGCAGAAGACCAGTGGATAGCCCTTCTCATGAACCCGTAAGAGTTGTTGATGGCTTGGCCCAGGGCAGAGGGAGCTAGAGGAATGAAAGAAGCAGAACCTGAGGCCAGACGCTTGCTTATGATCACATGTATATTGAGCAAAAGAAGAACAATATTGAGTCCAAAGAAATAGGGCTTGAGCCACCAGAAGGATGATTGGTTGAAGTTACAGGATGGGTTTGTGTAAGTAACAACTAGAGGAGTTCCAAGAATAAAGATCTGGGCATGAGGCAATGACTCAGTGGCTAAACCCTCGCCTTGCACATGCCAGGGTCCCATATGGATGCCAGTTCATCTCCCAGCTGCTCCACTTCTGATCAGCTTCCTGCTAGTGATCTGAAAAATGTGGTAAGAAGATGGCTCAAAGTCTTGACACCCTGTACCTGCATGGGAGACCTGGAGGAAGCTCCTGACTCTGGGATTCAGTTCAGCTCAGCTCTGGCCATTGGGGCCACTTGGAAAGTGAATCAGTGGATGAAAGATTTTTGTCTCTCCTTCTCTCTAAATCTGCCTTTCCAACAAAAGCAATAAGTAAATCCTTTTTATAAAAAAAAAGGAAAAATAAACAAAAAATAGAATAGAGATCTAGGGGCCAGCATTGTAGGACACAGCTGGTTAGGTTACCACCTGTAACACTGCCATCCCATATTAAAGTTCAGCTTCTTGCTACTCTGATCCCAATCTATCTTCCAGCCAACGTGCCTGGCAGTCAGCCAGTGACTATGCAAGTGCTTGCACTGCTGACACCCAAGTAGGGGACCAGATGGAATTCTGGTTCTATCCTGGTCCAGCCCTGGTTGTTGCAACCATTTGAAAAACAAACAAGTACCTGGAATATTTCCCTCTGTTTCATTGCCTTTGAAATAACTACATATACATATACTTAATAAAAAGAAAAAAAAAATAGAGATCTGCAGGGAAAAAAAAAAAAACAGCAGAAAATACCAAAATAGGAAAGAAAATCAAGCTTCATTCAGAAGCCAAGTCAAGAAAGTGTTTGGGATAGCACAGGCCATTGTTCTAGTTTTTACAATTCTCCTGTGCATGTTGGACTACCTGGATTCAAACCATGGTTCTATTGCCAAACTCCTGGTTCCAACTTCGTGCTAATGCCCACACAAGAAGGCAGCAGATACTGATTCAGATGATGGATCCCTGCCTCCCATGTGAAAGACCTGGATTGGATCCCTGGTCCCCCACTTATCCTGGCCCCAACAGGGCAGAGTTCAGGCATTCAGTAATAACCACTATGCACATGCAGTAAACGAATCAGGCAGGAAACATCACATGACCATAATACAAGAGCAATTTTCTTGTAAAGGATAGAAGCAGGAATTCTTACGGTGAGTCATGTTGAAAGAATAGGAGAATAGCACATGAGTGACTTTATAGCTAATCTGAAAGAGTTGGCTGTGAGTTGGGGCAGTACAAGGACTGGAAGTAGGATTGTTAGTTCCTTGTTCTTAGAATAGAGAAATCACAGTGTGCATATGATGGCAGTGGCCTCGTAGAAAACTGAAAGCTGATGACACAAAGTGGCAGACTTCCTGGAGCCATTTTCATGAGTAGGTGTGAGGGGACAGGATCTGGCATGTAGAGGGAGGGGATTGCCTTAACAAGGGAACATGACATGATCATGTGTGGTTGACAGGGAGGAAGAGAAATAAATCCAGAGGCGGGTCTCATAGAAATTTCTTTTGATTTTTTTTTTCTTTTTCAGTGAGTTGCAAATTTTTTCAGTGACCTAAGAGGAAGAGCCGCCAGTTCAGAATTAGTCTGGATGAGAAGGTGTTCCTGGTTTGAGGACAGAGGGAAAGGAACACAGTTGGGACTGGGTGTCCCCGGGGAATCTCATATGTCATGTAGCTGCATTAGGGCTCTCTTGAAGGCTACATTCACCAGTAACAAGGAGGGGGCATGTAAAAATGCTGATGATGGTTGATTTCAGATTTTCAGCATGATAAAGTAGGAAGAAAGGACATCAGGAAATGGGGAGACATGGAAAAGATGGTTGGTCCCAACAATGTTGAAGGATAGTCAGAATTGAAGTATGGTTGGAGAAAGCTTGAAGGAAAAGTGCTTTTGTTCTAAAAGGGACTGCAAGGAGTTGGGCCTGGAGGAGCTGAGACTGACGGTGAGGAAGGCATAAGGGTACAGTGATGCGAGGCATCCAGTGGATGGAGAGGAGGCCAAGGAACTGGCGGGCGGGCTGGCTGTGGAAGGGTGTGTGTTACTTGGGTCACTGAAACTCAAGGCAGGAGACGTGTTAGAGAAAGAGTCTGTGAAGCAAGAGACACAATCAGGGACACCAGGAAGAGGGCAGCCACGGGATGTGCAGATTCTCTCCCTTGGTTTTGTAAGTTTTTTCCAGATGACTTAGGGCTCTTCCTGATAATGCTGGTAAACTGTGAAAATGCAAAAACCATATGTTTGATATGTGCCATGTTTAATTATTGATCTTTGGTTGATAGTCATTCATTGAAAATGAGGAATTGAAGCACTCATCTAACTATTCTGGCTTTTTTGTCCTTTTACATTCAAACACAAATTTAAAAGAAAATTTTCCACATGGAATATTAACTGAGTTTCTCAGAATATCATACAATAATAGCTGATATAAGTTCATATTTCTCAGGTGCTTCCCATAATTTCTTTGTGCTTCCATAGAAGTCATTTAAAAACACTTTTTTAGAGAGCCCTGTGAAAGCATATGTAAACTAAAGGTCAGATCATTGAATTCATACTGCTTTCTCTTGCATGTTTGCTCTGACAGAGATTCAGTGCATTGTCGTACAAGTCCCGGGAGGAAGACCCAACGCTGACCGAAGAAGAGGTAAATTTTGTTTCTGTTTAAATACTCTGAAAGCTTCGGAAATAAAGGGTACAACTTCCTCAGCTTTGTAACATTACCCTTTATCTGCAAGAGCTTCCATACTGTCTTCAACCTGTGCTTGGAGATCAAAATTTGGGGAAGTTGGTTCAGTGCCCTGGAAAGAGTGATTGATTGGCAGACAGTAAGACCAGAAGGGTAGTGGATAAACAGATTAGCTAGCCAAAGATTCTGAGTGAGAAAAAAATATTCTTTTAAAGAAAGAAAATGAGGAAGAAGGAAGCAGAGGAAAAAAGGAGGAAGAAGAGGAAAATAAATGGGCTGGAGGGAAGTGGGTGTGAGAGATTTCAGTGTGGGAGCTCTAGGCAGCAGTTAGGAAGAATACACAGAAGGAAATGAAGAGCGGGCTGGAAAATTCAGGACATCAGAGCAGATCAGCAGAGGGAATTTGGCCCAGCCTGCGAGACAGAGGAAGGATGTTTTGGTAAACAAAATTCTCAGGCACGAAAGCAGGTAATTTCAGGAAGTTACAGTTCCAGGTTGGAGCCAGGAGCAGATATAACAATAAGAACAGACTGTGTATAGCCAAGCACCAGGGCTAAAAATTCACTGGTTAGACTCTCAGTGAAGCCATAAAAGTGAGGAAGCCGGTAGCTGTATTATTCTGTCAATCTGAGTTTAGACAAAGAGCTAAACTCTGGCTGTGGTCTTTGCTGGATTTCCTAGCATGATAAATGCTGGATTGTGCAACACACGTGTTTGCATACTGCCACATCACACAGGTGCTTCCCCGAGAAGACACGGCACACCCGCCCTGTGTGTCCGTCCCCTTCCTTGGAGTATACACCCCAGACCACGTCCCTGGAGCTCATCTTGGTAGCTCCTTTCCCTCACTGTCTTGAGACACAGTCAAATGCCAAGTCCCCGTCAAGTACACTTCCCAGCAAGTATGATTTCTTACCACAAATACTACTCCTCGGAATGTCTTTTCAGTAGAACATTTCATCTATCCTTGCACAAGTGATCCAAATGTGTGAGCCTACGAAAATGTGCTTGGAAGCACAGGCTGCTCTTGCTATGGGAAAGAACGTCCGAGAGATGTCTCCAAAAGCCAAGGATGGGCTGGCTGGTGGCAGGTGTTCCCACTAAGCTCATTCTGTACATGACAATGAACCGGTAATGCACAACTGTATCAAAAGCTGCTGGTAAGCAGTGCCCTTGCACACATGAAGTGCCCAGCCAAGGCCTGTTTGAGGCTATACGGAAGCAGGAAGCAAGGAGTGACACCACACCAGGCCACACAAAGGCAGGAGGCATGGAGTGGCACCACACACAAGTTCTCACTGCTCAGGGGTGGCCAGAGCCGCACAGGACTCATTCCCACTCGCAAGGTGTCTGACTCGTGACTCTGAGGCACAGCCTCAGAATGTGCCTTTCTGGTGACGCCCCAGGCCCTGCTGCTGCTGCCTGGGAACCTCAGCCTTGGAGCGGGTGTGTGTGTGTGTGTGTGTGTGTGTGTGTGTGTGTGTGTGTGTCCCACTCTTTGTGGTAAAACAGTGAAGCCCCTTTGCCAGTTAGCCATCAGTCTGATAGGGAAATCAAACAGAACCCAAGGTCTTGGTCAGATGAAGAGACTTCTTTGGCTACCCATTCCTCCTGCTCTCCTCAAACCCTCCATGGGCCCAAAGAGAAATCAGTTTCCATGGAATTAAGTGAATTTGCCTGATACACTCATCCATTGAACTTCATCTGTCTTATAACCTAGTAACGGGCTCCTGGCTTAAGATAGCTAAGCCAAGTGCTAAAGGGACACACACACACACACACACACACACACACACACACGCACCTGTGAGTGCCAAGTATGAAGTTCATCATTGAAAGGGGGCCATAGGAAGTCATAGCTTGAAGTTTTATTCCACTCCACTTGTTTCCTAGATCTCAGCCATGTACTCCTCGGTGAATAAAGCTGGCCAGTCAGGGACTAAAGCAGGACAGTCCCCCAAAGCGCTAGAAGCCACCTACAGTGCTATTCAGGAAGCACCTCAGCGGTCCACCTCCTCCTGCAGTGATCTCTATGCCACCGTTAAAGACTTTGAGAAACCCCCAAACAACGTCAGCACGCTTCCACCAGCAGGGGGAGCCCGCCAGGAGCCAGAGCCCGACTATGAAGCGATACAGACGCTCAGCAGAGAGGACGAGAAGGGTCCCCTAGAGACCAGTGCCCAGCAGGGTCTCATCCCCAAGGAGAATGACTACGAGAGCATCGGGGACCTGCAGCAGTGCCGAGACATCACCAGGCTCTAGGAACTCAGAAGACAGCTCCAGAGAGCCCGAGAGCAGAGTGCGGCACGTTTTTGCTGGGAGAGCTGGGTGATACAGAACAGTACTCCCTATGCTGCTTTAGCCAACAGAAGGCAACCGGGGATGCCAGGTGTCTTCCCAGTTTCTGAAACTGTGAGGTACGAACCGGGAACACCTGCCCACCTGGGAGACATGCACAGTGTGGCACAGGCCCCTCCTGCACCTTTACCCTCTGCAGAAGATCCCAGCTGCCAGGGGTTTCATCCCCACATAAGGAAAGCCAGGCTGGAAAAAGGAGCTGCACTCAAAGTGGAGGAAGGCTGTACACACCTGAATACTGCCATTTGCAGAACAAGGCGTTTGCTTGGCCCCTCTGCTGCAGACTTTACACATGTGGCTTTTTCCCCTGACTTTTTTCTTTTCTTTCTTTCTTTTTTTTTTTTTTTAATTTTGTGGTTCATTCCAAGGAAATTCTCCTGCAAGGCGTGGCCCCTGCCTTCTAGGTAGGTGTCTTAGGTCGGAAAGAAGCAGCACGTGCCAAGAACGAGCCAGCTGTCTCATCCAGACCCTTCGGGGCAGGGGATGCCAGAGGGACATCCCTGCAGTCCCTGGGGCCTTTGTGACATCTTGCTTTGGGTGTTCTGCATCAGCAGCCTCTCCCCACAAAGTACTAGAAGAGTTATTTTTATTTTTCTAGTTCACATGTTTTTGTTCCCCCCAGTATTTGTCCAGCTCCTCAAAGCATTTTCAGTGTTTTCAATGAATATTGTGGTACTGCTACACTTGTTTAAACCCAGAGTTCATCCCTTCAAGTCAGCGAGCCTTAATATTTATGTTGGGACACAGATCGCACGTGAGGACAGCAGCCGTGGGATCCCCCTCTGAAGGGCTGTGGACACTAGTGGGTGTTTCCCATGAGCTCTACCAACCACACAGTGTGGAGATTCATAAGTTAACTGCCACCCTAAGGTAATCTAAGATGAAAATGTAAACATTTATTTTTGTTATATAAATTTATAAGAGGTTTTTTGGTTCAATGCATAATTTCTAGAAAGTGCCAGAACAAATGTATATGAACTATTTTGATTTTATGTACAGTTATTTCTACTGTCCTTTTGAAAAGACGCCGTGAAGCACATAAGCTAGATAATGACACACAGTTGTTACCATCTTTCTATCCAAGTGTTGAAAACATCCAAGGATTTTCAGGACTCAGCTTTTCAAAATGGTACTTGGAGCTCCTGGTCCACTAGGGAAAGATACCACATAGACGTAAGCCATGATTTTCAGTGGTTTTTCCTGGCCAATATCATCATACTTGAGGTGGTAACAATGAAAAGAATACAGTCTGCCTGCGCTGCCTATGAGTTATGAACCTCCTGAAGTTTAATTCTATCAAGGCTTAAATACATTTTTTTAAAAACAAAATGGTGATGGATTCTGTGGCCCAGTGCTTGCCAATGCAAATTGCCTGTTGGAAAAATATTTCCCCTTCATTATACAAAAATCAGTGGCTGAAATAACTGAGTTAAAGCTCAGCCTGGTGTGAATTGAATCATGAATTTAGGTGTTCAAAGGCCACTGTCGGCAAACTGGTCAGTTTTCATTGAAGAGGAGCCTCATTGAAGGGCTAGTATGATGTGTAAGCTATAATGGAGAGGTTGCTTTTGCTGCATGGGCAAAAGAAAAAATGAGGTGGTTATTATGCCACTGTAATATCTAGGACTCTAAAGATTTAATAATCTTGCTGTTTTCCCTCATGACAAAGAATGCAATTGGGAGAATGAAGCATCTTGAAAATTGTAGCTATTAGCTTGCTGGAGTATTTTCCCACCCGTGTGCCCAGAGCTTGATTTTGTGACTGCTCTGCATTATGCTTCTGAAGTCGTAACATGAACTGCACTGGGATCAGCTGGCTGGTGGTTGTGATTCTGCAGTCCATGCCATCTCACCCGTAAGGACTGACGTGCCTGTGCACAGTCATCACTGATTAGGAAATAATGGCAGAACACCCAGGAGTCCCTGAGGGCAATTGATCAGGAAAGTGCTAGGTGCTTCCTCCCCATCCCTCCTGAGTACTCCCTCACCTGGTGCTTTTCACTGCTGGATATTAAGGAGTTTGAGCCAATGATCTCTTGCTGCCTCAGTGGGGCTCCTTAAATTCATGGTAATAGTCACACTGCCCACCTAGGAGTAAGTGTGCATGCAGTAGAAACAACCTTCATGGACACCTGACAGTACAGCAGTTTGATTGTATTTGGTCATGTCTTGCTTATCACCAGGGAAACAGGTATGATCTAAAGTGGAGAACCCTTTCTGTAGACAGAAGCTCAGTAGAAATAATCATGTCACCCTGAAACTTAATTATTACGATTTCCCCCCGGGAGTTTTCAAATATGGGTTTATGCAATATAGCAGTAAAATTTGCACTCAAATCTCTCTCTTAAATTGAGAGTCAGTGATAAGACCACATTGTGCTAGAGGGGTTTTAAGTGTAACTTTAATAGGGATTCTAAGGCCCTTCAGCAGAAGCCCTAGAAAAGGTTGACTGGTGGCACAGTCCTGATAGTTATGGTGGGGGGAGAGAGATGCAGAGGAAACTCCAGGGCGGAACCTCAGCTCTTTGATGAGTCAGCTTCTTTACTGAAATATATGTGTGGATGTATCTTCACTGTACTGACCTTGGAGTAGGGTTTTTCATCAGTTTCATCATGCCTTGTTCAGAATCTGTGCTTGAATGTTTGAGATAGACAAAGGCTGATGACTCCTGTCATCTTGAACTAAATGTTAGAGAGCTTTAATATGTTAAAGGCTAATTAGCAAAACCAGAAGTCACTATCTATCCAACATTCAACTTGATATCCATATTGTATATCCAGTTGGTATAACCTAAGTTCTGCAAAATTAAGTAAAGAAAGAAAAAATTTTAGAAAAATTTTAAGATTTGCTGGTCAGGTCAAAATTGTGCGTCTATCTCAATTAAAAGAAGAATCCATGTTTTATTCAGATGATTTGAAACTTGAGAATTATTGTTACCTAACTTTTGTTATTTCTAAACTATCATCATCATGAACCTGTTTTATGTGAAGTTCTTGAGGAAAACTTAAGTACTAAAGGAAAGTAACTTTGTGACAATGCTGTTTTCTCCTTCCTGAACACCAAATCTCTGATTTGTTGATCCTCAAAATCCCAAAATTCATTCTGAGTGCTAAATTAGACATCAGTAGTCAACGTGAAGAACTAAAATGCACCTCAGTATGTCACTATTGTCTGCTTGTCTACCTTGCACTTTTCTTTAGGCAAATTAGATCGTTTTCTTACTAGGGTACTTCAAAAGATTCATGGAACAGTGTAATTAAAAGATACATTTTATTTCAGTGCAAAATGTTTAAATTCATGCAAAGTCTTTCATAATAGGCATTTTTCATGAACTTCTTGAAGACTCCTCATGAGATGTATGGATTTCCATTTTTTTTTTGCACTGAAATAAATTTATCTTTTAATTCCATTTTTCCACAAGCCTTTAAAAAGTACCTCGTGTGTGTGTGTGTGTGTGTGTGTGTGTGTGTGTGTGTATGTGGCTCTGGCACAACTCTGGTGCTTAATAATAAGAGTATATTTTACTATGTCAATTAGAATGTATTTTACTTTAAAATGTTTATTCTACTGGTATGATGAACTTTTGTCATAAAAGCAGAATTAGAAGAAATTGTTCCACAGTAGTTTTCATTTGGTGATTACAAGAAAACCTTGAGTTGCCCTCATTTAATTTTTCTGAATAACTGAGATTTTAAATTGTGTCCAAAATTCCTTTGGCTGAAAAACAGTATTTTAAGCTCATATTGTTAGGTGTCATAGAAAGTGGAATTCAAAGGTAATGAGTATTTTCCATGAACTTTTTGAAGTATCCTGGTCCATGTGATTTGCTATGTAATCTAACCTAAAAGGTTAAAGTGCAAACAGGTGTGTTTCTCAGATAAGTGTTTGAGAAGAGATTTAACCTAAAGCGAGACTAACCAACCGTGAGCCAAGGCAAGGTGACACCCACTCCCACCCCAACCTAGGAATTTTAGTAACAAAGTCCAGTCACCACTCGGTAGCGTGTTTTCCTACATTCCCTTTTAAAACCGCATGGTTTAGCAGCAGAACCAATGGGCAGTGATGGCATATGTCATGTAGAAAGCTGCTCTGAGATGATACCATGCTATAATTGCAGAGTTCCAACATCAGACTGAATTACGAGACTGTAAATGAGTAAATGACATTTTCTCAGTGTTTCTTGTATTAGTTAATAAAGTGTCTGTGTAATCTTGTGAGCCATTCTCTCTGAAAATGTTGGTTTTTGGTACCCAGCCAGCTTGGCGTTAGCTGCTTGAAGCACAGTAGGTACTGGTGGTTATTTCCTGGAAATCTTGACAGGCTTATTGTTCTATGTAATTGAGAAAAGCTAAATATAATGTTTGGTGTTAATAAGTGGCTGATGTGAGAATAGGAACATGTGTCTATAATATCAAATATGGTTTAGCTTACTGTAAAATCAAAATTCCTTATCTTATTATAGTGTTCTGCTCTGTATTATATTTCTTCTTAAACATGCTAATTCCTGACAGTGGCATTAGACAGATTAAACACTTAGACTGAAAGTGCTGGAACTAAAAGATGTCAGACCAGAAATCATGATAAATTAGAATCTTCATCTGGAATAACTAAATTAAATGTTAAATATGCGGTTCAGAAGAAAACAAGCATTTGTCTTTTTTTGAGTCCACGCTCCATGTTTTAAAGTCTCTGTTTATCTCTAGTTTCTAATATTTGAACAATATTCCACTGTATTTTTTTTAATTTCTTCTTTTGTTAAATAATAGTTGAAATTGTCCTTCATGTCAGCAGAAATGAGAAATGCAATTTTTGAAGAGGCAATTTCGAAAACCATTCACTTTGCCCCTCAGTGACCTTTCGTGCCACAGGGTTTTTCTGTGTTTGCCACTCCAGAACTGTGTGGGCCTCTGCTTCTCTCCTGCAACTTTATATAATGTAGTTCAAAGACATGGTCATTGCCATGTCCCAGGCTTCCATATGTAAAGTGGTTAACAGGGAGCTGTGTTAATGTGATTGTGTTTAAATAATTATGTTGTATACCTCATCTTTTCTGAGGGAAGTTTGAAATATAGCCAGGCAAAGTCTGTTATAGATCAGAATTGGTATTTCATTATTTGTGCATTTTTTTTCCGCATAAAAATGGTTAACCCTGAAGTGACCTGTCTTCTATTAGGTGACCCCAATCAGAATGAAAAGTACCCTACTTGCTAAAATGTATTCAAAACTAATTCATGACGCTTAGCAGCATTTTGACTCCTTGTCTCTTTAATAGATTATCCAGTTCAGGGAAGAATGGGAACATGATTTTCCTTATTGGGAATTGTCTAACCTCTTTGTCAAATAATATCTCCTGGTAGCTCCAACATCTTATAATACTGTTGCCTTCCCTGGTTCTAGTTCCTGTAGTGCCAGTCTAAAGAACGGGGCATAATGTAACTTTTGCTTCCCATCTTATTATGGCTTTTCCTGATGGCCACCTGTCATTCGATATGGCACCACCCCAGGCTTCTGCCCTCCCTGGCCAAGTGACACTCACTGTGTTATTTCCAGTACTGATCATTGTTGCCCAGCGTTACAAACATTACCAGACAGCAGAGCCCAGACAGGTGAACAGACAGCGCCGTACAGCTCCTGTGTTCTGTTTCACAGGCTGCCATGACTCGCTGAGGAAGCTGCAGCTAGCATTATCTGGCAGGAATTTAGCTAAACTACATATACTATGGCCCATCCTCCTCATGAGAAAGGCTGACACCCTGGGGTCATGAAAAAAAAAAGCTTCTGAAAATATCCTGTGAAGAAATCCAGCTCCCAGGTATAAGTGTATGAGCACTGCGTTCTACCCAAGTGGCAGCTGAGCTCACCGTCCCCACCATGTTCTGTGTCACCTCCAGTTCCTGACCAGCTTGTAGCAGGTGAATCCCGCAGCTGTGGCAGACCACAGGCTACCAATAATACAGTAGAAAACCAAGAAAAAGGTCCTTGTAAAACTTCATCATTGTTTAAAGCCATTGAGGATAAAATGTTTTAACCATATACCTCTTGTAAGGACTTCCTCCCCTCACCACACACATACACAGGTAATGGTGATTATGAGTTACATTACCAATGTACCAATGCCAATTTACTCCTCTTTCCTGGGTCCCAAGAAAACCAGGATATTCAGACATCTAGCCATGGAGTGTCAGGTACTGAGAATAAGGCCATTTAAAATAAATCTGTCTTTCTAAATGAGGAACCAAGTAGTAGGCTGCCTTTTAACTGCTGGATCAAGAGAATGGTGATGGCAGTAGTTGAGATCATGTTTGATTTTTATTTTTTTAAGCTTTGCTCCAAACCATCATTGTCAATTTTTTAAGTATTCTATAGGGTTTTTTTTTAATTCACAGGAAAGATAACCTGCTCATTCTCTTCATACTTCTAAATTTTAAGTATTCACCTAATATCCCGGATGTGTACCCTGAGTAGGACACAATGAAAGCTAAGAGGACAAGGCAGCGTTGGTGCCCCAAGACCATAGTTCAGAACTATATTTTTGTATTGTCTGGTTTGATTTCATTTGTTTTGACTCAACAAGTCGCATACCATGAGTTAAACCAGTTTCCTTTCCTGCCCTCAGCTTTTGTATCTTTTAATTATTGTTTTGTCAGTGAAAGCTTCCCTGAGAGACAGCAGTGGCGAAACCAAGGTAGAGTCCAGATGTAAAGGATTTGAACATTTTTTTGACCAGTTTGTATATTTCCCATGGATGAAATGAACTTGACCTGACATTCCCAGTCGATCCTTTAGGCTTGCTTGAATTTTGGCTTCTCTTATTTTTTCCAGAGCCACATTAGGACCTTAATTCCCACTGCTACTCCACATGCACCTGCCAATGTCCTCAGTGATGCTAGCACATTTCATGCTGCTTATCTTCTAGGGAGAACCAATGCAAAAAACAAATGCCAAGAAAGTTGAATTTTCAGTTCAACAACTATTTGAGAGTCTCAAATATACTTCAGTTTTGACAGTTTTAAGGGTTTTGGTTTTTGTTTGTTTGTTTGTTTTTTGAGTATCATATGTTTGACTCTGGAACCAAGGAAAGATGAGGATTAGAAGGAAACTTTGAATGAAGTAGAGAGATAATGTCTTGCCCCATGCATGTTGAATTATGTGTCTCCCTGAAGATGCGAGTTCCCAACATTCTGCCTACAGCTTTGAGTCTCTTACATATTAAACAGTAAATGTGTGCAACTGTGGGAGATTATCTCAAGGGACTTACTGTTTAGATGTTTTTCTAAGCCCAGGAACAAATCTGGTTATGGATAACATAAGATGGCCAGCGAAGATACAATTTGTAGCTATCCATAAGCATACTTTCAAACACATTTCTAAGTTTGTTTTAACTAGAAGATGAAACTCCTCATGTTAAAAAAGCAAAAACAAATATTTAAATTTGTAGGAGAGTGGAGCATCAGCCTCCTACCTTCTTGGAATTTGTGTTCTTGCCTGTAGTGCTTCTGCAATTTTTATGGGGGAAAAAAATGCACATTTTTCTTTTTCTTGGGGAAGTGGATTGAGGTGTTGAAAAAATCCTGCAGTGAAACAGTCTCGTCTCGAGAAGCGTTGGTTTGGGAGACCAGAGCACAGGGATATGGTTCCTGTTCCAGCACTGACTTTACTGTGTGACTTCAAGTAGATGATGTCACTTCTCTGTGCCTCAGTGTCTCCATTGACAAAATGGGGACAGTGACACCAACCATTGCCTACCTCACAGAAATGGTATGGGGACAAATGAGACAACATAGATAAGTACGAATACTTTGATCCCTTTGCAGAAAGGTGCTATATCAATTGAAGTTGTATTGTTTTTAATGATCTAATGATTAATTATTTTTCGGGATTAAATAATAGCAATACTGGTATTCAGGTGAAGAATAGGTTTCAATTTGATACCTATTTTCAATTCTGTTCTGTGGCCAGATTCAAATCATTTACCCAGTAATGGTACCTAAGGAACTTAGACGGAAATTGTTTCTGTGTGTTTCTGCTGGTGGTATTTCAAATTTGAATACTCAGAAAAAGCTGGAGTTTAACTTGTCCTGTCATATGGTTCACATGTAATGAACTTTATTCAAGCTGTATATAAAATTATAATTACATGTAAAACCAGGTACATTGTAATTAAAGGCACTTATCACATTGTCTATGTTCTTTTTAAATTGTAATAAAAATTTTATATATAAAAGCTTGTTAAAATTCATTTG